GCTAGAAAACTTTTTCCTTTCCTCAATCAAAGCCTTTTATTGCTAGCCCTGCAGGACCACTACTTTTTCTCATCCAATGCAGCACCCTATTTGATATCCTCTCCATTATAAACGGTCTAATTCACTCAACTATCTCAATCACTAGCAATTCTCTAGCATTCAATATATGAGAATTAAACGTCTTTCATAAATTATTAACTAGCATGTCAAACCTCACATGAAGTGGAAAAAAAAGAGCCTTGCACTAGTAATGAGGTGGTATAGCTCTCTTGACCCATGCGTGAGTTTGCTGGTCATATGCTCTCAACTCTTCCACTACTGCCTCATAGAACTCCACTGTTGATGCTGTTGCAATGCTCCAAAATTTCTTTTTAAGCGCTTCACTAGAGTGCTTTTTCTTGAAGTTTCTGTACATATGTTGTACACAATTTCTATGGCCAAATTTTGGTAATAGCTCAAGCAAGGCACTAACAAGACCCTACAAAAGAGTTCTAATTTTAGTTACCTAGAAAAATATTACTTTAAAATACATACTATAATGATAAAGTACAACACTCCTAACCTTATGGTCTAAAACAAAAGTGTATTCACTATTGGTATAAGGTATTTCTAGATCATGAATCAGTAAACTCAAAAACCAATGCCATTGCTCTCGAGCCTCCATTTCAAGAACTATCCAGGCTAATGGCCACTAACCATTATTCGGATATGGTCCAATAGTAGTCAACAACTAGTCAGGATATGCTCCCTTAGTGTGACAGTTCCCTTTTTCAATGGTCCTATACAGCAATAGAATCTCATGAACTTGGGATTATTTTGAGGATCAGATCTTGGGGAATACTTAATGTCTATGGTGGTGTTTGATACGAAGCCCGTCAGAGACGAAACCTGTATTTCACAAGCCAAGGACCTAGACGATTAATACCTACGGTTTGGCAGCGGAAAACTTGACCCTAATTAATTTTAGAAGTCATGAACATATTGATATCATCTCAACCCGTAACAATCCGAATTAAAAAACCAAATTTATGAGATAGAAGGCACCACAATTCCACGTGATCTTGAATTGATAAGTCAAAACTTGAACACTCAAGAAACTCTAAAGTATTCAAGGAGTTGTTTCTAAGAAGCCAAGAGAGAACTCTCTCTCTTCACGCCAATAGTTGGTTGGAAAATATCACTTTTATTCATATAGATGCCAGAAACATTCAAGGCTGAATGTATTTATAACCTTCTACAAGACACAAGATTCCTAATTAAATTTGAAAACAAATGACTACTTCCCTTAAAACTCTAATCGACTAGACTTAAGGTCACAAGACCTTAACTGCTTTATTTTCGTCTAAATATCGACTCAGCTAACACTTAAACCAACCCAAATTAACAACTAACAATTCTGGAAAATTAATTAAACAAACGTCTAAAGCATTAAACATAGATAGCTTCGAGAATTAAGCTTGTACTCTTCCTTTGGCTTAAATCATTATTAAGCTCAAGTTGATCCTAGGATTGCATCAGTGTTGGGGTGTGTTTTCTGTAGTTCTACTACGTACCTCCCAACATCAGCATACAGGCTGAGAAACCCTTTGATAGTAGTCTCAATCATTGCAAGTGCTTTGTAACTTTTGTTTCTTGTGATCTCGCAGCTATATTGCTCATCAAATTTTGTAGCAATTGCCTAATAGGCATGTTCATATTAGATCTAATAAACTTTTCAAACTTGTTGGCTACCCAATTGGATGTCATGTCTTTGTTTCTCCAGGCATGGCTACAATTGGTGTGGATATCATAAATTTGCTTAACTACAAAGTTTTGGGTACCCAAAGTAGGTATGTGGCTAGCATAAATATACCACTTGCATGGATCTGCACATTTAGCTCTCATTCTTGTTTTGTTGCTGGTATACATGTATATAGGTTTTCCACTCATAATTGCATATTTTCTGACAGCATCTCTGTACTATTTTTTGGTTCCAAAATTTTGCCCAACATGAAAATAGGGATCTATTCCATCCCTAGTAGCATTGAAACTAGTGTATCTCACTAGAACATCTTCATTTTCCCAATCTGGATCACTATTTAATTCCACTTCAACCTGATCATCTAAGAGTGGGTTGTGCTCCTTTCTATTTTGAGTTGTTGCACCTTCATTTGTTTCACCTTGAAATGCTGCACCTCCATTTGATGCACATTCAGTTGCTGCAGCTTCATTTCTCGCTTTTTTAGCAGAACTAGAAAAGGGTCTCCGAGGTATGAGATTTCTTGCTATCTCTTTTTCTTCTATTACTGGAACTGCCATGATCCCTTCTATTCTGACTTGATGGAGTTGGGTCATTATCAACTTGGCTCTGCATTTGTGGCTCATACTAATGCAAATCATCATAGGCTGAATCACGAATAGATTGGTCACCTCCCCCAATAGTTTGGTTATCTCTATTAGCTTCATTACTAGCACTACTACTAGCACAAGTACTTGTATTACTATTGTTGTTGACTTGGTCACATCTCCGAACTAATTCTTGGTGTGAATCTTCATCCTCAGCATGATCATGCTTCCACTCCAAAGTAACAACTGATTTACCAGCTTTAGCTTCTTTTTTTCATCTACGAGGTGCTGCTGTCTGTTGTGTAAGGACTTCACCATCATCCAAGATCTCCTCCATTACAACTGAACTCTTTGTTTTTGAGGACTCCTTTTGTTGCTTTTTCTAATGCAACTCATATATTTCCTTAACTGTTATATGATGACAGTATACTTCCATCAACTCGTACTCATAAACCTAACCACAGAATTATCTAATGTCTTCATCGGTTTGAAGTTCCATCAATCCATGGTTCACATCCCCTCTAGGATCAATATAATAATATAACATAATATCATTATGCCCACACTTTTGAACCATTTCATTTATTTCATGAATCAACATAAAATCAACATGGCAAAAATTGAAATAATCAATCTGTCCACCCACATAACTCTTGTATTTGTTTCCCTCAATTTTAGCACCATGGTGGAGTTTAATGGAAAATGTAGGTTTATCAGGAACTGCAACAACAACAAAGGCAAACAACATGATTCTTGTTACTCACCATTTTTTATTGTCATACACGTTGTTCTTCCTATAAAAATACTTAACCCCAAATTGTTAATTAACCCGAATCAGACAACTACCACAAAAGTTTTTTTTTTTTAATGAGTAAATTATCAGACAGAGGGTTGTTGTAGGACCCCTTGCAACCATCTACTACGACAAAAGGGGAATTCACTTGTTCTTATGTCCTTTTCCAAACAATCCGATCAGATCAGCAAATCCTAAACCCAATAAACACTTTGGCTAAATACTTCATTATACTCATAACACATACAACACAATTAATCAAACATTATCCAAATCTACAAGCGTGGGATTGTAAAATTTCTTATCATATAGTGTGTACGGATCAATGAACTCATCCCTTTGCCTTTTTACCCACTTCGCTGCCATTGATCACCTATGCTACACTACTAATGTTCGTCGTTGGTTGGTTCTTTGATTCTCCTCACTCATTACTTTGATTTTGCTGGATTAATGTGGCAACTTTTCTCATCAATTGTTTTTTTTGTCAAAAATTTTGCCAACATTCTAAACCCTACTCACCCCACTCTTATCGCTTTATTGCCACAAAAAGTTATGCAGATGAAATTACCCCTCAAAAATTATTTTCCGTGTCTCCTAACGGCATAAATAGATGGAGTGAGCTAAATGGTATAGATTTATTAGTTTAGTGACATGTTTGACTAATAAAAAAGTTTAGTGACCAAAATTGACACATTGCAATAGTTTAGTGACATTTCGCGCGATTTGCTCTTTATAGCGAGGTAAATTCAAAAGAAAATTGAATAATTAACATGAGGATAAAATATGAAACAAAGGTCATCTTATGTAACTTTATTGTATAGTAGACACAACATAATTGGTTTTAAATTATTCTTTTAAACCTATTAGGTCCAATAATAGTCTTGAATCTGTGAAATTTAATTATATGCAATACTGTTTATGGTTGCAATTTAAGTCCAATATATTGTGGGAAGATTGGGTTGGGTGGTAAGGTGAAAGGGATATTAAATAGGAGGTCCTGAATTTGAATTCTCCCATTTGAAAAAATTTAAAAAATCCAACATGTTGCCATGCATAAAGAATGGAAGACTCAATAGTGCAAAAAAAAAAAAAAGAGAATCAAATTAGTGATTGAATTTTAAGGAATTTTAATACTCAATATTAGCTTTAAAGAACTAGAAGGAAAAAACTAATAGGAAAATCTTAATTTTAGGGTGTAATATTCATGTATCTATTAAAATCAAATTTACTTTGGTTTAAATTTTAAAGATTAAAATCGCTTCTATGCCAAATTTTGGGAACCAAAATCGTACGTGTGTTTGGATAGCAAATTATTTACATAAATTTATTTACTTGTATCATAAATATATTTTTCAATTACTCTTTTATCTTACATATATCGCATAAAAAAATACAATGTATTTTTCCCTTCAAATTTATTCCGATCTCAATTTGAAACCTAGATATCGAGATCAATCCACTTTTCAAACAAAAAGAAAAAAAAATATTGAAACAATCACTCATAGCCCCACAACCATCCGAACTTGCCACGTTTTATTCCCTTCTCCTTCCAAAAACTAGTTGGAAACTTAGGTAGAAACTAAATTTGACTAACATGAATTTGTAAGGGACGTAAATTTATATTTTAAAAATTGAGAGACTAAATAAATTATTTTATAAAATATGAAGCACGTTTTAAACATTTTCCCTTTCAAATTTCAATTTGAAATCTAGATATCGAGGTCAACCCACTTTTCAAACAAAAAGATAAAAAAAAAAAATCAAATAAGCACTCATAGCCCCATAACCATCCTAGACTGCCACGTTTTATTCCCTCCTCCTCCCACACGTCATTTTCTCCGCACACCAAAAACTCACAAAGCCGGCCTCAACTCTTCTTGCCAGTCTTTAACCGTAACCGCCCCTAATTGTATTTGAAACGTTTGTCCCCCTCAACTTTCTTTCCTTCCCCTTTTTCCTATGTACTTTCCTCGCAATTACTCCTCCAAAATTCTCCCAATTTTTTTCCCCTACTACTTAAACAATTATAGCAATAATAATTGATCTTTTCTCACCGAATCCGCGTTTTCCCTCACCTTAATCTTCGCCTCTAATCTCTCCATCTGATCACATCCTCATTGCATTTTTCCTCATTTAGCCAAAAATTAAATTCTTAATCATCAGCATTATAACTAATCGTAAGTTTAACCGCCCAATTTTTTGTCAATTTAATTTTTCCCATTAATTTTGTCCATTTCCCGCAAAATCCGGGTTCTGGCATATTCCAATGAATTTCTCATCTTCATCTCTAGAAAGTATTTCTCAGAATTTTATTGATTTAGTTTTGTAAATTTTCTTTTTGCCTTTTCCCCCCTTCCTCTTCCGATTGTTCTATGCATCCATTTTGTTGCGTTTCTTCTACTATTCCAGACCCGATGACTCCGCCACCGGCGCTACCGTCGCCGCCGCCTCCTCGGGCGTCTTCTTCCTCTGATCATAATAATAATAATAATAATAATCATTATCCGATTAAACAGAGCAAGGTAAATAATAGTAATATTAACGGGGATAATAGGAATAATAATGATCAGACTACGAGTCGATATTTTTCTCCGCCGCGGCTGTCGAGGGCGTCGCAACCGCCGTCGAGGAGGGAGATTGCTCAATTGACTGCGGCAGCTGCGGCGGCGAGTGGGAGCACGAGCGGAGCAGCGAAGATAAATGATATTGTAGGACATGGCATTTCGGGAATTTTGTACAAGTGGGTGAATTACGGGAAAGGATGGCGGCCGCGGTGGTTTGTTTTGCAAGATGGCGTGTTGTCGTATTACAAGATCCATGGGCCTGATAAGATTGTTGTGAGTCAAGAGAGCGAGAAAGGCGCTAGATTGATTGGGGAAGAGTCGTTTAAGAGGATCTCCAGGCGGAATGGATTATCATCGTCGGCATCATCACAACAGAAGACTCGCAAGCCTGTTGGTGAAGTCCATCTCAAGGTTTGTGATCATGATTTTTGATATTTGCTATCGATATTGATTTAATTTTGATGGGATAATTAAAAGAAAATTGTTCTTTTTTTGAGAAGTTAATAATAGTTTTTGAATCTAGTTTACTTTTAAATGTAGAATTTTTGTGTAAATTGGGCTCTCTCAGCTTGATATTGCTATTGATATCTGTTGAATAATGAGATAATGAAAATAAAATGATTTCTTGGAGGATTTAATGGGGATAAGTAAAAGTTCTGCTCTCTCATTCTTTTAAATTTGTATTTTTTTGGACCTATGAATGGGGATATTCCCGAAACTCACAAAGAAAAAAGGAAGGGTTCAGGAAGAATAGACTGGACTCTCTGTGGAAAATATGCAGAGTAAAAAGAATGAGGATCAAAGCTTTTGTCTTGTGTGTTTATTACAAATGAGAACTATGCTGAACTTTGTATCAGATTAACTTTTTCTGTAAGGGTTTATTTTTTGGTTTTGAATTGAATATGACTTAGGGTCGGTTCATGTTGAAGTAGTTGCTATTTGATATTTTTTTTAGGGCTTGTAGTGGTGATATCTAGATTTGGCCATATTGGTCTCAATTAAATTTGAAAGGTTTTCTCTAGGTTTCCTCTATTCGAGAGAGCAGATCAGATGATAGAAGATTTTCTATTTTTACTGGAACAAAGAGGCTGCATTTGAGAGCTGAAACTAGAGAAGATCGAATGGCTTGGATGGAAGCATTGCAAGCTGTGAAGGACATGTTCCCTAGAATGTCCAACAGTGAATTAATGGCTTCTATCGACAATGTGGCTGTTTCAACAGAAAAGTTGAGGCAAAGATTATTGGAAGCAGGCGCAAGCAAGGATACTATTGAGGAAAGTGAACAAATTATGAAAGACGAGTTTGCTTCTCTGCAGAATCAATTGATGCTTCTGAAGCAGAAGCACTGGCTCCTCATTGATACGCTGCGGCAGTTAGAGGTACAAGTTATGATTACTAGAAAATGTCTTCCTAATGAATTTCAGAGTCCAGCTTCAGTTTCTTCTTTGCAGGATTTTAGAGGCCAAAGTGCCTTCTTATCCACCTAAACCGCTCGATGATCTCTCTTTTCTTTCCTAACTTTATTTCCCCCTTTTTAAGCTTTGTAGTATAGTTTCCCAGTTCTTTTGTATAGGTAGTTTTGATCCCGGATTTGTCCTGGCATTTTTGTATATGTTGACACAATCATTTGAAGTGATTGAAACGACTGAAATAAATTGCTCTTTTTTTTTGTTTGGAATTATATTGCCATCTGAATGATTTGCCTTTTATGTAGTTTATATCCTGTTATCTGTGCTTTGTCTGCCAGTTGCTATATGCCGTGTGGTTATAGAGTCTAAAGTTAATGTTATGCTACCTATTTAGCCTCTTTTATTTTCTTAACCAAGAGGGTAATTTCATCTGCTCTGATTTACATTGCCAGAAGCCTTTAGGAAGATTCATATATAATGACTTTCTTCTTATTTAACGAGTCTTTGGGAACTAATTATCGCAAATCTCGGAACGCTGTTCCAGTTTATCCTACTGAGTTTGAGGGCTATCCCTGAAATTTTTTTCTTGTGGTGTAGATTTAGCCTTCTGTTCTGTTTTGGCAGAGTTGCTGCAATTGAATACTGGGATTGTTAGGTTGATCTGCAATAGTACCGTCCCTGGTAGAATGTTGAGAATCAACTGCTGCAGTTTTGAACAGTTGCATTCTGTCTTCATAATTTCTCGAGTAGAACATAATGTAGCATATGTTTTGCCAATACATTTTAGTGCTGATAAGTCAATAGTGCATCCTTAACTTCCTCAAGCAAATTATTATTTGCTCTGCTGTTCTACATACCTATTGGTGCAATTTTATATCTCAACGTGGCTTCAATATTTCGCAAAATAGTTTTGACATTTTCTTGTGTGGACAAGTTTCTTTCAAGGATAAAGATGTGAAATGTCATGTAAATAAAGTTCTCTAGTGATTTTCGATAATGTTTATTTGAAGTTGTGTTTTCGCTTCTTCAACAGGATCTGCAATATTTATTGTGTGTATGCGAGTAACTCCTATAGTATAGCTGGCATAGTTGGTAGCCCTTTTATCTATGAAGCTTGATATCCAGAACTTTTGTGGTGTATGTGCTTTGCATTTGGAAACTACTTTAATAGCAATCAAGTCATGCTGGAAAGCAATTCTTAAAAGAATTTTGATTAATAAGAAAGGTGAATTAATAACACAGGAATTGAAAAGGGTTAAAACGCGGGTAGAATAAAGAAAGTTTGTCTCATGAGGCTAGTTCTGAACAGCTCTTGGGCTAGTTCTGAAGAAAAGAGTACAGGGAGAGAATTGGAGAAGGGGAGTACTTTTTACTTTTCAGCAGTGGTATTTTATAAGTCTTAATTTATGTGACCTGCAAGTTTTTAAGATAAAAATGCAAAAAAGTTAATTGAGAAGTAGATGCCTGGGTGCTATGATGCCACTTTCCATGTCTATGCATATTTTCACTTTATGCCAAAGAATCCTAGAGTTCCTTCTAACTTTTCTTTTTAAAAAGGGTTGGCAAGTGCTACATAGATGAGTTGCTGCCCAGAATTAGCGCGACTCGGTTATATTTCTTTACAAAGTGCCTGCAAAATAAAATTATTCAGGCAGCAGCCAACATGGGAAAAATCAGTTGTGTTAGAATTGAGCGATAAAAAAATTTTATCTTAAAAAAATTTTATCTGGATGAAGCTTTGTTTCTTTTATGTGCTTCTAATGTACGAGTGGCATCTCCAAGATGAAATAAACTGTTTTATTTGCTACATTCTGGTGTGCAGTCTTTTTAATATCTGTCTTGGTTCTAACACATACTGAAATGACTTGTACTCTTATGTGCTTCCTGCCCCTTTGTTGCTAAAGTGATAGGGCACAGTTTACGACATGCTTTTGTGCAATTGCCAATTACCGGTTACTCTTTTCTTTTCTCTCATCTACACATTTGATTCGTCAATGCGTGTCCACCCAATTTATTAGGACCGAGAATCTTGAATTAGGTTGCAACACAGATGATTCTAAGCAGTCTAAATTTTTCAGTCACTTCTAGCAATCTTGAAAGTAGATGATCTATTTGTGCTTGTAAAAAGATGGTAATACTGGTGTAATTGATTGGACAATGGTGATGGTGTTGCTGCAGTGCAATAACATGTCCTAGTGGTTATGGCTTCACGATGTTTGTGTGGACATTCTTTTTTCCTTGGTTCAATCTGCACATACAGAAGCACTGAAGTTGAAAATTGCTCATTACGCATGGTGCTTGTGGTGAAGTAACTGTGGCTCTGCAGGTTTGGGAATCTAGTATGGTGGTAGAAATATTAATCAAGCATGTGCAAGCAGCAGAATTCATGACATTTTTTTAGCTTACTGACTTTCATTGTCAGCAGTTGGTCCAAGTGTGTCCACTTTTCATGGTTTTTCTGTAGCTTTTTACCTGGTGATGTGCCGTTCTTCACTTTACGACTGATTCTGGAGTTGATTGTACATGTCTCTTAGGATTTAGTAATTTTGGACGCTTGCAAATCAGCCTCTTGAAGCACTCATTAACAAAATTTCTGTTACTGCTGAAATTTTTTGAAACCTGCAGTCTTATCTTCTGACCTGGGTATTCTGATGGAGTTGGAAAGTTACATGTCTTATGGATACCAGAAAGGAATTTCGCTGAAGGAGTTCTAGGCAACTAAACCCATGAAAATCTTCTTGTGTTAACTGAAGAATGTCAATAGATAGTCTTGTTTGAGTTCTCTTGACATAGTTGTTTTGACTTTAGGTCCAATTTGTCCACTGTGTCTGGGCAATAAAGTATAGCTTTTCACAAGTGATCTGGTATATCATTTCTATCTTTAGTGTTGTGTAGCTGGAAGGGCATCCAACTAAATTGGCAAATGCATCCTTGAGCTCTTGAAAGGGGCACTTAAATGAACTATAAGAGCCATAAGCTCAATAAGGTGAAGTGGTCACACATGGTAGAAGAAATGGATCTGACTGCAACTCTGCAATATAATGGATTCTTGGAATTGGTTATGAAATCGTATGCAATGACTTCATGTGTTGTACACCATAATGGGTTCTTGGAAATTTGTGCATATATTATGTGTGGTAACCTTTTTAAACAGCTGCAGTTTGGTGGCTTAATGGTATAAATAGCATGGTACTCACTTTGGCATCTGAAATAAAAGAAAAAGAAAAGTGCGTTTAGTCTAGTCTCTCATTAGGGTTTAAAGTATGTCCTGCATGGTAGGGCAATTTATGTATAAAAGTTGAACCATGAAAAATCCTTTGGTCTCAACAATTGATGAGAAGTTTTCTTTTCCTGGTTTGTCTTAGGTTTGTGTTCTTTAGAATTTCTCTTGGCTTTGTTACATGTAGGATCCCTTTTTCCTAGTTGAAAGCAGTGTAGATGTACTACACATATGTTGGTAAGCTTCGTCAAGTCTCCATGTACTTGTCTCCTGTGGATGCCTTTTGAGACTGATGTTAAGGAACATGGATTTATCTTTAGTTGGAGTTTGGTTTTCATCTTTGGTTTAGTGAAGCTATAAATTGGGATTTATCTGAATATGGATTTTTTACTCCCTCGGTTGTTTTTAGCAACCTAGGTTCATGTGCTTGACTTGTGTATGCTCAATAGTCAGTTGTCCTAGTATGTCAATGTTTCCAACAATATGGAGCTTGTGCCTTTAGTTTCCTTATTGTATGAGATTGTCTGTTCTTGTCCTAAGATAGTGCCCCTGTTCTGGTTGTTTTAGACAGAAAAGGTTGATCTGGAAAACACAGTAGTCGATGAGAGTCAAAGACAATTGAAAGGGGCATTTAGCAGATCAAGGCAAGACAAATATAGTGGTAAGCATAATCACAGATTTATCTTTCATTGCATTGCTTCGCGGATCTTATATGATTTTGTAGTCAGGCACTTTTGTGGGTTCCCTTATTTTAATATTTTCTTTCTTTACCAGCTCTCTTGGCTAAATTCTTAATACTCACAAAAGAAGATAAATAGTTATTATTAGTTTTGACTGATTAATTAAGTGCTTTATTTCTCCTTTATATTGTCAGAATTGAGTTTCATTATAATAGACCATTTTACTAGGCAATAGTAATGTGGACTTGAGTTCCAGTAAGGAATTGCTTGCAATCATCCTTGTCTACTCTTCTAAAATAGTTGATAATACAAACATGAGAGTAAACACGATTGATACTGTAGCTAATCTTGGGCATGTTTGCTTCTGATCTTGCATTGTTGGACCAGTATGTGATACATGTTTATTATTGCAATAACTAATGGAAGAGTTGAATGCATGTGTATGAATTAATTATATCTAAGTCAGGAACAAATTGTTTGGTATAACACTCATGCTGTACATTTTGAACTTTCAGAAGACTACCTTTTATGCATTTTAATCACCAATATACAATGCAGATAAGTTTGTAAATTATCTGTCGAAACTAATTTCAATTTTCTTTTATTAATTTCAAGAGTAAATATTTTACCTGTGTATTACTTTCTAGATAAGTGTACCTTATTGCTGCTGTGTAGAGGAGGGCATATGCAGACTCTGGTTTTCACCACTTAAAATAGTTATCATGTGGCATTGTTCTATATAGATTCTTATGATTTAAGAACTTCGTATAGAGTGTAACAAGTGATAATAAAATGATGAAAGAAATAGTAAATTAGGAGTTGGACCTTCTATGTTAATTTTTTCGAGAAGTTGATCGATTTAAAATCACTATTATGAGATTGGATCTGGAGTGCAGCTGAGTTTTCTTGAAAACGTTTTTAGATGTAGGTACACAAAATATAAGGGAGAGTGAAATGAGAATAGAAACGTTTGTTATCAGCTCATGAACTTGTGCATTGGATGGGGTGGAATAGTGTTCTGTGAGTTGAGGTTGTGTTACCTAGAGTATCATGCTTTTGGTTGTGGAAATGCTAGACTGGATGAAACATAACAGTCAGTGTTTGATATAGTACAGTGATACATTAGCATCAAGTTGTGGAGTTGCTACTGTTGTCCTCTTGGATGTTCTAGATAAATAAGGGTTCTTAGATAGAGTGATACAAATTATTTTAAACATGGTGGACGATATTGGTGCATGGTGCATTTTCCTGGTTCTTGTTAGCTGAAGTCTTTTATATGAAGCATTTTATACTCTGATTGCCCCCTTATGGTTCATCATCTTATATTGTAGTACTAATGTTTTTGATTTCTCCATCCCGCAGCCCTGTGGCGGAGGGGGGTGGGTGGGTCCTGTTTTCCCTCGATATAACTTCTGAAAGCCTTCTGTTTTGGAGAAAGGCATCTTGTACATATGGGAAAAGGCCCTTCGATGGATCTGTTGCCCGCTTCTGGTGGAGCTTAACATATAAGTAAAACATTGAATTGAAGAATTCTTTTTTTTGGCTGCATATAATAATTTTAAGAGATATGTCGTCAAAAAGCTATTTTAAATAACTTATATGAAAGAGAAAAAGGTAATGTAACAAGATAGAAGTAAAGATTCTTAAACGGAAAGAGTTCTCAGGTGTCATTTGGGATTTGATTCAATACACATGCATAAATTAAGTTGAAGTTCCATTTGCTTACAAGCTACCAAGTGGAGTCCACTTAAGGTAGTGCATCCATTTTATTATACCCACTGTGATAAGGGGAATGGCTTTGTAAATACTTCCAAGTTTATGATCCCAGACCTATAAATGACCATGAAGCTATCTTCCATTAACAAATGATTTTAAGGGTGTGCGGAAATCATTTTTCTTTATTTATGTAGCTGCTGCTTCACAGCCTGTTTAAAAGTAGAAAGGAACCTTTCAAAAATTGCAAAGCTTTCATCTGGTGAGGCTGACATTAGCTTTATTGCAGCATTTTGTTAGTTTTCATGTCCACGGAACTTTGTTCATTCTGTCTATCATTTGATGGCTTGGTATCTTTTGCTTTTGAAGTTAAAATATTGCAGGACATGGTATTTGATTAATAAATCTTCCAGTTCCAAGATATCTGATCTTTAATAGATTCGGATAGCACTTGAAGTGTTAGACCCCCGTGATAACAAAGAATGCTGCTGAGGCTACATAAAACAAACCGAATGCTTTGTTGGTGATGAGCAATAAAAGGCATCCTCTTTAGTGCTCTACTAGTAGGATAGAAAAATTTTGACAAAGAAAAAAGATAGAAAAGGTTTGTTTACTTGTTTAGTAAATTCTCACATTTTGATAGGAATAGGTTTGGGCACTATTCATCCTTCATTCGAATATAATGAGTGTTGGGTTGGGGTTTTCTGACTTCTTATCAAAAAGGGAGTTGGTTAAAGCAAGCTTGCTCCTTGGAGGAGCATAATCTTAGTCAATTACAACCGGGTAGGATGCCTGCGGCTGACATACAAAGCATTTAAGCGAGAGGAATAGGTGGCGTTAGTTAGCTATCTGATCTCCTTTCCAGGATGGGGTAGATTGTTGGCAACTGTCGGATGTTGAGGTTGGTATGAAGTTGTGGCTAGCAGGTCTTTAAGATGGTCTCAAAATGAGTACCATTGCTGTTCACCATCTTTACACAGAACCAACTGTTCAGTGGACTGTCTGCTTTCTTCCGACTGGCTCGTACTGCTGAATCTCCGGATGGAGGTTCAATCAATGCCTGCCAGACTTGCTTGGTTTAATTGATCTCCTTTGCTCAATTAGATGGCATAGCTAGTACAACTCCTTCCCTAACCTGAATAGGAGAATGTGCTTTCAGTATACTTTCGCAGAACTCAGAATCTATTATCACATTTGAGTAGCCTGCTTTGTGAATTGATCTCTTGTTTAGCGAATCGGCAAAAGGACCTAGGTCTTTTTCTTTTATAGCTACTCTTCTTCCCATTGACTGCTACTATTAAGATAGAAGATGAAGCACTACCTGTAGTCCTTCAACATATGGGGGCTTCAATAGCTGCTGATTCTTAGCTGCTTCTTATCAGCCTCTCCCGGGGAAGTTGCAGGAATAGATTCATTAGGCCTTTTTTGGGGTTTTGATCTCCTCTCTGCCTGCAAATCTTTTTTCTTTCTGCCTTTAAGAGGCAGATTAATGATGACATAATATATGGAAAGTATGCAGTGAGGGAGGTGTCTTTTTTTTTTTGGGGGGGGGGGGGGAATGTTGGGAGGGGCAATGGGGAAGCAGAGTAGTCCAAGAATGAAACAAAAAAAATTATTGTTCTAGGCTATTCCTTTTAAATAGCTCCTTGTGATGCACCTTGAACCATAGCAATTAGGATCTCAAGATACAGCAACACGTATTATCCAAGGAATAAAAGACTCACATCACGCTGTGTTTTTGTCCATCATTTTGCTTTTAGTTTTCATAACATAGATCTTGGTTCGCACTTTATGGCATTTGTAGTATAAAACATAGTCAATTTCGCATAGGATTGTGCATGGAACTACTATCATGATTCTTTGGATCATATTTCCTGGAATCATCCTGATGTTCATTGCTATACCATCATTTGCTCTGTTATACTCAAAGGACGAGGTACTAGCAAATTCAGCGATTACTTTTAGAGCTATTGGACATCAATGGTGTTCGAGTAATAGAATTCTCTAGAACAGAGATTTCTGAAATCACATACGAAGTAATAGAATTCAGACTTTTCTTTTATTATAGGTTTTCTTTTTACTTAGGATCAACTTTACTAAATGATAGGATAATCTCCTTATGTGCTTAATCGAGCCCTGTTTTGACAGCTTTCTTTCTGTTACAGTATGCATAGTATGGTTAAGCATCATTTCAGTGATTCTGAGCCAATCTTATATTTGACTATTATTTGCTCTTTTGCTTATAGACAGAAGATTTACCAATTGCATTAGCAAATGTGTTTTTTCTGTTACATGGATAATTTGTTTCTGTGTTCTTGTATGACTACCTCCTAGACACATTTTTTGTCTCTTACTCACTTTATTGCTGTCTCTCAACTTACACAGCATGAAAGCTATAGCCTTGTAGCCTACTTTAGCCTGTTGTATGTATAACTTCTTAAAAGCAGTGTCAAGATTGGAGGGTAATAGTTTATTCTTAGTGGGATTATTAACCATAAATTGCTAAAAGTATATGATGCTTTTTTTCCAGAGGCCAGTGCCAGTGAATCTGAAGATGATACTGAAAGAGTTGATGCTGCAGAAGAGGATACAGATGAAGAAGATAACACCTTCTTTGACACAAGGGACTTCTTGTCTTCAAGTTCCTTCAAGAGCAATGGATCTGATTTTCGCACATCATCTTTCTCATCTGGTGAAGATGAACTTTATGCTTTTGAATCTGATGATGGTGTCGATCCTGCTATTAAATCCGCTGGTGCTAACTTTCCCTACATAAAGCGTCGCAAAAAATTACCTGATCCTGTTGAAACCGAGAAAAGTGTGAGCTTATGGTCGATGATTAAAGACAACATTGGGAAGGACCTCACAAGAGTTTGTCTTCCTGTCTACTTCAATGAACCTCTGTCTTCTTTGCAAAAGTGCTTTGAGGATTTGGAGTATTCATATCTAATTGATCGTGCTTATGAATGGGGGAAAAGGGTATGCATAGTAAGAGGAAAATTAGTGCTTTCTGTTTGAAATTTCCTTTCCGTGCTCATGCTTGATAGTCAATACCTTCAGTTTCCATTGATCTCAGTCGATATGAGCTTGACTTGTTGGTTGAGTACATCATATTAAATTTTGGACTTTTTTTCTTCTGTATGATCTGTGTTTTTCAATATATGCTTTGGTTTGCCTAAAGTTAACATATAATGGAGTATTTTGTAAATTGCAAATTGTCATCAAACTAGCTGATATGACAGCTCTAAGGTACTTCAGTTGAAGACTGTAATCATCTTAATTGTGAGGCATGTTAATGTGTTCACGTTGCTGGGGAGTGCATGTAGGAGTTTAGCAATCCCAAGTGCCCAAGTGCAAAATGAGATGGATATTTGAAGAACTTGGGAGATATTGGTTCCAAAATTTGATCATTTGTGGCCATATAGAATGATTTCCTAGTTTCCAACAACAGTCTTAAGCATGGAAAAGGTCCTTGATTGGAATTTTTGTGGTAATGAACAGATCCTCTTGTGTGTTGCCTTATGAGGGTCATCTTGAAAGTCTGACTAGCTAGAGAAGATGTCGGTAACCATGGTTATGTACGTGTAACAATACTTTTTTGGATATTATTAATGCTGGACTATTTGATTGTTTAACTGAGGCCTTGGATCTGAATGGTTGTTTAGTTAATCGTCTAGCGTATTTCATTTATATTCAGCCTTTTATTGTTCTTAACCTTTGTTGTCATTTTTATGTGGTTCATGTTTAGGTTCTCTGTTGTATAATCTGTGTTTTACAAATTAAATACATAGCATCAAGACAGAGTTTGCAATAGGGCATAACAAGCATTCTCTTTATATTTTTCACGACATATTTGGAGATGCACTTACCACTGTTCTTCTAGTTTCTGACTTGTTACCAACATATGACATGATAGGGTAATAGCCTTATGAGGATTTTAAATGTAGCAGCATTTGCAGTATCTGGGTATGCGTGTACTGAAGGAAGAAGTTGCAAACCATTTAATCCACTATTAGGGGAGACTTATGAGGCTGATTATCCTGACAAAGGGCTCCGGTTTTTCTCAGAGAAGGTGAATTCTATTCTTTAATGCAATGTACAAATTTTTTTCCATTTTCAGTAATTTATCCTGTTTTCTTCTTTCTGGAAACTCCAGTTTTATTTTCTCTGACTCCCTCTGGTATACTTAAAGTAACACAAGGATATGCTCCAGTATCTTCTAGGGAGAAGGGCTTGATTAAAACGTATAGTGGTATTGAGAAAGCTCCCATGCTGTCTGTAGTAGCATTGCTTCCTGCTATAATTACCATTACAGCACCAACTACAAGGCATAAATGTGGAACTTTATGGTGTGGAATACTAAGTCATATCATGAAAAAAATGGAGGTGATTGCTGGAAAGTGCAGTACCATTCTTTTACAGGGTATGTGAAACCTAAAAGGACGATACATATCCCTAACCCCTGCTGGTTGTGTGCATCTTAGTGCTTACAGACAATCCATGGATTTGGCCACCATAAGCTTCATTTAAGATGAAGTATCACCAGGCTGTTGAAGCGCTCCTGCTAAAGGGGCATAGTCTGTTGTAGTACTTCATAATCTATAGTGCTTGCCAGCCCTAGCCAGAGATAGGATCATTATCCCCTTAACCCACTGACTCATTTTGCATGGCAAGAACTGCCAGTAAAGTGGGACCTTGGGGCTCCACATAAGTGGAGGGAGTGAAGGTACAGAGAAAGTTCCACTATCCTAGTGGAAGACTGAGCTTATGAGCCCTGCCACAATGCAAGACCCACCCACCAATCTGGGAAGGAGGTCTTGTAATTGTGGGATTCACCTGTAGGACAAGGACAGCAAAGGTGCTTCCCTAGCCACATTGTGGAATGGTGATTGTTTGGGCTAGTGGGAGCTGGGGGTTCCCCAAGGGTTTGACCTGTTGGCCGGAGGCTGACCTAGGGCTTCTTGTGGACTAGGTGAAGCTGTGGGGCTCATCATACTGGCCAATTGTCACCCTAGTGTGTCCTCCATCTGAACAATAACCGTGCCTATCTGTTATTCCATGGGGCCCACCAGCCCTGTACAGTATTTAGGGGCTCATGGAGAAGACTTTGTATTAAACTTTGAGGGAGATGTTGCTTTACTTGTAGTCATGTAGCTCCTATGCTCTCACAGCTTTTGCTTAGGAATGCATATCGAAGGGGAAGTGTATTGCATGCTGAGAATGAGGGATCTCCTCAAGGATGTCAGAGCATAGGACATCCTTGATTAGCCTTTTTTACCAGAAAAAAAAAGACCACTAGATAGCCTAGCCCATGCCCTAAAGGACAAGGGAGCCCAAAAGGTGACCAGCTGGATGATTGAGCAGGTTTGTGGAGACCACTGAAAACCAAGCACGTTGTGTATGTGTGTATATATATTATGTATATATGCTTAAGTTCTTGTGGGCTCTATTGTTGGTTAGTCACAATCAGTGAGTTTCATTCATCATCTTATAGTATGTGCTGTTCATTCATCATCTTCCTCAGCTCTGCACTACAGCTCTCTTACTAATTCCTTGCTGGCTGGTATTGCTTGTACTCAGTACCTCAGATCCCTTTTTTGACTTTTAGTCTGCCAGATGCATTTATGGTCATTAAATTTTTTACTGCATTGTGTTTAGTCTTGTTCATTTTATAATTCAATAGTTTCAGTAATGGGGATCTTTTATATCATCCTTTAACTTGTCTTTCTGGTCAAACTGATTATGTGCAATTATACATGTATTGATATTAATGTCTGAATATATTTTAAGCATTCTAAGGAATTTATGAAATTCTTTTGAATTTCGGATTACCTTTCTTTGTACTGCTTAAGGGACTCTGGTAAAGTTTGTATTTATCAGAATATCCATATTCCAAACTTTGGGGATCATTGTTCATTTTCTCTATGATTGACTGTTATCTATATACTTAAAGCATGTGGTGTTTTAGTGGGATCCAGTGTGTGATGAGATGATTTTATCTTGTTCTCTTTATGGTCTTACTTATGTTACATAAGGTTGCACTGACAGTACATACCAAATGGGAATGTATTTGTTTGCTGCTTGGAAGTTTGTCTTGTGTACTACAATGCTACCTGATGTGTTTCATTGGATTGCACATTCATTGAATTCTTCTCTATTTTCCACTCTGCTAGCTTTTGGTAGTAGTTTGGGTAGAAATACTTAACTCTTTGCCTTCATTGTGATTTTTAAAAGTTTGCTAGTGTACTATCATCATGAGGTTGGGTTTCATTTGAATCAGGTCAGTCATCATCCTATGATTGTAGCTTGTCACTGCGAGGGTACTGGATGGAAGTTTTATGGTGATAGCAATTTGAAAAGCAAATTCTGGGGTCGCTCTATACAACTAGAACCTGTTGGTGTTTTAACTCTGGAATTTGATGATGGAGAAGTATTTCAATGGAGTAAGGTGCAATTCCTGGGTTATGACTAGTGATGCTTTTACTTGTTTGTCATGTTTGATGTATATCTGGATCTCTCTGTGTAACAGGTAACAACATCCATTTACAATCTTATTTTGGGAAAACTATATTGTGATCACTATGGTACCATGCGAATTCAAGGAAACCGTGATTATTCATGTAAACTGAAATTCAAGGAGCAGTCTATCATAGACCGCAATCCTCATCAGGTTCACTCTCCCTCTGTTTCTCTCAAAACATAGGAAAGTCACACATTTTATCTAATTTTTGCATGTTCTTTTAACCAAAGAGCAAAATCGATAGGTGAAAGAAATTCTTTCAAGTTATGGATATCCTTTCATAATTTTGAGACTCTTTAAACTGTTAAAAAAAATAATAATGTGGGGAAAATGTATCATTTCCTCTTGTGGTGCATGCTGCCTTTGTCTTGTGGAAACAGGAATATGGTGGTTTTTAGTACTTTGTTCTGAGGTCTACTGGACCCTTCTCTAGGTGGGATTGATTTTTTTCTTTTTAGCAACATTTTCCATCTGTAAAGAAGGATCATGCCTGTGTTTTTTGGCTTGCATGCTTTGTCATATGCCAATAGAAGACATGTCAACATGTTCTGTTGAAGAGATTCATGCGTCTACCTAGTCTTTGGCATTTGGAATGGGAATAATGTCTACTTCGTCTGCCGCTTGAAAATTACAAGTCATTTTGGAAGTATCTGATAGGAAGAAGGTTCATCATACATAGTGTCATACAGCTAGGAAAGTTGATAGAGAGAAAATGTGCATTTAGAATCTTTGTATGGCTTCTTTTGATGAGTATTTGACTTACACTTTTATAATGTTATGGCATTAATGATGCTTAACCTTTGCAGGTACAAGGAATAGTCCAGGATAGGAGTGGAAAGACAGTTGCAACCCTCTTTGGGAAGTGGGATGAGAGCATGCATTATGTGAATGGAGAGTGTTCTTCTAGAGGAAAAGGAGCTGAATCTCTGTCAGAAGCACATTTACTTTGGAAGCGGAGCAAACCTCCTAAGTTCCCAACAAGATATAATTTTACCCGTTTTGCGATGACATTGAACGAACTTACCCCGGGACTGAAGGTGTAGTTAAAGAGACACACTTCGATTCTTCATTTGGTTTGAGTGTTCATTATTCTATTGGAACAATGCTATTTTATACTGGGGAAAGTTTTCATGTAGTTACTGGATGCTTGTGGTGTATCTTCTTTTTGACTCTGAATAGCAAAATTTGTTACTGCCACTATGAATGATTTCTTGATCAGGTTCTGGTGCAGATTTTTTTGTTTAAACATGTGGATGGGTCATTATGATGTTTCAATTGTTTTTAAGTTTTTGGTTCTTAGCGGCTCTTTATCCATTCTGATTTCTTCTGTGTTACTATATTACTATCAATTTCTCATTCCTGCCCCCACAAATTGATGTATCTGCATATTGGCATGAAAAAAGATGGTTTACTTTTGCATATTTGCTGAGGGCCATTGCATTTTTTTTGGCGTGTAGTCAATCAACTTAATGTCATTTGCAGGAAAGGCTACCACCGACCGATTCAAGGTTGAGACCTGATCAAAGGTGCTTGGAAAATGGGCTGTATGAACAGGCGAATGCAGAAAAGCTGCGACTGGAGCAGCGACAAAGACAGGTAACTGTAATGGCTTTGCAACAAAAATAGATTTTGTAATGATTTTGCGACTGGAGCACTTAATTTTGCTTACAATTTGGAGACAGAAGGGCTAGTGGTTTGTGCATTTTTTACATTTTGACCCACCTGTAAGTATATTTTGAGAGCATATGTAGACTTTTGACACTCCAGTTTGTAGAATTTTGACCTACCAGCAATTATTGGTACAATGCTGTTGGAATCAAGGAGGCGAATGGTTGGTGTACTTATTATTTGAATTTTGGCAAATTGGAATTTTTGGAATGCCAGTAGGTAGAAAGTTGAGAGCACAAAGCACGCAATTCTGCTGGGGGTCCCACTATCTCTCTCTCTCTCCCCTCCTCCTATCTGTCTGCATGAATTTTCTTTACTATGCATTGTAGATTTCGGGTTCTCCTTCCCCCTTTTTGAAAATTATTAGGGTATTTTTTTTTATTGATAAACATAACTAGATAAATCAATATGGCCTGACAACAAAGTCAACCTAAATATGTATGACTTGCATTAAAATAGGTTGGGATTATTGTGGCATGGGATCTTTCATTGATTGTTAGAAAATTTGTCTATTGTGAAGTAGGATGTAGAAAATATATCCTTTAGTTTTGCAATTAGTTTTCAGAATTTCTCCCATGCACTCCAACAGATCTGTACACGCACACGACCTCATGTTTGAATTCTGTAAAGATCTGCTGTTTTTGGATTCTGCATGATTCCCATGAAGGTCTGGTTTTGAATTCTCTGTGCTTTTTTAAGTTAAGCTCTTTGGTAAATTTTTCTAGAACTTTCAAAGATTAGTTTGCTGTTCCGATTTCTTTCTTGCTATTCCCATGATTGAAGTTACGAACATGGGGATCTTGCAACTATTTGTTTTTGGAGCGTCAGAGCTTCTATGTTGCTTTGCCTCTTTCCTTCAAAAGAATGTGGGGATCTTGGGAAAAATGATTTGCCAACAACGTTTTAAGGAAAATTTGGATTATGTGCTTCTTATTGCTCTCCAGTGGATTGATATTTGTGTTTGGGAGAATAAATGAAAGTTATATATTACAAGATGTTGCTCAACTGAAATATAATTTTGTGTAGCATATGTTCGAACTGCTTTCTAGTTAGAGGTTGTCCTGAATTAGGTATCTAAACGGGGCTATTTCTGATGTGCCAAGAACCGAGCTTCATTATAGTTGATGATGTTGGCTTCAGGGGTTGTGTGTTGATGCGGTAATAATATACTTATCTATACTCTACAGGCCCGTAAAATGCAAGAGAGGGGTTGGAAACCACGGTGGTTTGCTTATGACAAAGGATGTGATTCTTACCGCTACATTGGTGGGTATTGGGAAGCAAGGGAAGAGGCGAAGTGGGATTCATGCCGTGATATTTTTGGTCACATTGCGTCTGACCACATATTAGACTGAGGAAGCTTCAAAAATTTTGGATTCCTTTTTTCTTTCATTTACGACAGAAATATTGGTTTAGGCAGCCGGTGATTGTTGTCCGGGGCCAGGGACGTCATTGACAAACCATTTAGTGTAGATCAAATGCTTCCTGAATAAAAGGTTCTTTCGACTTTTCTCTACTTTAGCATTTATTCCTTTTCTCTACTTTAGCATTTATTCCTTTTCTAACTTTTTCTTCATATCCTGGCGACTCAGCATATGATTTTTTTTTTTTTAAATTTTACTCCCCCATCTTTCGTGATGTAAATATGAATGGCTTTGATTTTCTTGGTGAAACGATTCCACACAGTTCTGCCACATGTACTTACACATGGAACAACAGTTTTGGAATTTGACATTTCTACAGCAACCCGAAAGTGGGGCACAAGTGATGGTGACGGTAAATTTATCGCATACTCCTCTTAATGCGTGCAGGAACATCAACCGTGGTGCTAAACGTAACCGACTTGCTAACCTGCTTCTGAAAATCAGATTTTTTCGGGATACAAGGGTAGTTGTTGTTATTTTTTTCCCTTCTTCTTCTTCTGGATTTTACATGAATGATTCAGTCTTGCGTTACAAGTTATAAGCAGGGAAATTCTCAAATTTCCAGGAAAATTTTAAATGTTTTTTCATGAGAAATTGTCTTGCATTGCTGATGAGACTATGGTCTGGTAATTGATGTTGATGTTTATAAAAGATCTAATATCGTGTGGATCATGAATTTGAGTTTCATATTTTCTCATATGATGGGAGAAATTGTAATTAGGAGGTCCTATGTAGGGTTGTCCATCGACTTGTAATGGGGAATTCGGTAAATTTTTTTTTTGAGAATTTGACAATCAATTTGTCAAGATGAATATTTGATTACAGTCCAAACTTTAGTTTGGTAATTTGGGTATTGGTAATTGGATTTCAGGTGGAGAATCGATAATTCGATAGTATCCGAAATTCAAAATGCCAATAACAAGCTAAAATATTTCAATTTTTTTCTAAAAAATTTATTGCACCAAAACAATATTTCAATTATTTTTGCGGTCTTTGCTAATAGTCCAAAATCTCAAAATTCTCAAGTACTCGAACTAGTCTTAAGAAACAAATACTAATTATTAAGTCATTAGTAGTTAGTACTCAATAGTAATAGTTAAACTAATCAATAAGTTTGTTGGTAGTAACATGTAGCTACTACTCACTAGTTAGTAATTCAATAATTATTAGTTAGTAATTAGTATTTAGTAATATGTATGGATATAACTAATATGTGTGTGTGTCTATATATATATATATAAGTTTGGAAATTCTGCCAGTAATGGGTACAGTAGTGTATTTTAAATATCTGTTCTTGAAGTATTTTACCAAACATTAAAATTGGATATATTTTGATTTTATGAAAAATCTGAAATCCAATATATATTGGATTGGTTGGTTTTTCAAAATTTTCCGAAATTTGAACACCTTTAGGTTTTGGGTTTAAGACCTCCCAGTTAAAAAAAAAAAACAATAATTTGGTTTGGTGATTTTAAATTGTATCATTTTGAAGGAATGCATATTTTTTGAGCTGTTGGGCCAACAAATTTAACTTCCCACAAAAAATGTTGGTTAAATGTTAAACATATCAAATTCCTTGATGATTTAATCATCTTCATTACGTTTTGGCATTCATTTCTATTTAATAGTTCTAAATAGTTATTGAAGTTCTTGAAATCAATATGAAACTCAAATTATATTTCTATTTTATGGCTAAAAATTGAATGGGTTTGTTAGTACCAAAATGATATTGGTGACACTTTGCTGCTTTTTTCCCCTTTCTGGTAGATGCATTCTGCTTAGTTTTAATGAGAATAAATATCTACATGGTGATCAATTTTGTTTATCCATCTAATGTACTAAAGAATGATACTTTTTGTAGACATCAAATCATAACTACCATCCTACGTTCAAAATAAGGAAGTTAGTTGATTTCATGAAACCTTTGCTTGAATGATTCTAAAAATATCAGAATTGCTTAATTCCAATTCAACAAATTGAGAAAAAAAAAAGACCACTTTTGTGCAAGCATTACTTTTGCTTGGCTATCAATTTCATATTGTTACTTTAAAATGTCGAATAAGGGAAACATATGAAATTTCTCAAACCACAAGGGATCTGACAGTACTTGTTAGTTATCTTAGGGTATGTTTGCGTAATTATTCCCTAAATTGGGATATCTAACCCTCTCTTGAGATTTCTAACAATGTCATCTAGCACTCTTGAAATTTCAAAAATATCACTTGGCTCCCTTATCTTCAAATTTTGTAACATTTTAAAACCAATTCAAAATATACTATTAAAATACTCATTTTAAGAAAGAAAACATAGATCCATCCAAGCATTGCACATTGGTTACCTCACTATTACAAAAAAGAATTTTTTTTAAGTACAAAAAAGAAAAATTTATTTAAAATGTTTTCAAACTAGAAAAAGAATTTTTATTTTTTGTAATTTTTAGGGTTCAATTATTTTGGTACTCTAATAGGGGGTTGATTATTTTGGTGGAAGTGTAGATTTTTTCTACTAAAGTGTTGCAATTTGGTGGAAGTGTAGATTACTTTGATACATGGTGGATTCTGATTAAAAACTAGTCGGAAAACTAGGTAGGGACCAAATTTGATCAATGTGAATTTATAAAGGACGTAAAATTACACTTTTAAAAGTGAGGGACGAAAAAAGTTATTTTGCAAAATGCAAGGGATGTTTTGAACGATTTTTCCTATTTTAAAACTTTAAAGTTGGGTCCACTTTTATTTTTTTGACATCCTAATTATGTGCTTTTTAGGTTACCAAATAAAGAAATCTTTCCTTTTATCTAAGCTATTTTGAGTGAATTTAAGAAATTATTTAGCATTTTCATTCTTTTATCCACATCGATGGTTTGGAAATTTAAGAAAGGAAAAGTGTTTAAAATTGTATATATAAATTATTTGAGATGGCTAAAAAATTTAATTTGTAATGCTCTCAAGATGCTAAAAGAAGTTGTTTCGTTTATACAATATTATGAATGATTTTTATGTGCTTTGTAAATTATTCGTAAGTTTAAATTTTTAATATCTTTTGTCTAATTATAAACTAAATTTTGTTAAAGGATCTCCCAACCCTAATAAAAACTTATTTTTTTTTAAAGTGCCACCCTTATTCTTTATTAATAGCTGCTAGAAGAGGTAGGTACAATTAGAAAAATTGAAACAAAGAATACTACTCCTTTACATGCTTGTTGGCTATGGAAGCAAGATTTTATTTACTTACGCGAATGCAAGGATAACTTATTTTGTCTAGGTAGATAATAAAAACTTATAATCTTCCATTAAAGAAGTAAATTGGTATATTTTCAAATATTGAGAGATTTCAAATTGGTTTGTCATAAACAATTAAGGGAACACAATAAAAGGATAATTTTGGAATGATATTATCTATACGCTCCAAAAACTAGTTTTTTACAGTAGTATTACTATATGGATTAGGTGGGGTGTTTTTCAAATACTCCCTTAGTCTAATGCTCTGTTTGGATTAGCTATTTTTTGGGATATTTTTTAAAAATTTTACTGTAGCAACGTATATAAAAAACTTTTGCTATAAATATTTTTTGAAATATTTGAAATATTGTATGAATGAGATTTTTTTGAGTTATTTTATTTGTGTATTACTATAGTATTGTATTTGAAAAAATGACCAATCCAAATATTTTGAGAATTTTCAATTGGTAGCAATTTCAAACAGATAACGTGGTCTCTACTTTTTGTTGCATCTCACAACAACACTTCTAACTAGAAAGCGATTTATACATGTGTGAAACTTAATCCAATATAAGATCCGAAGACTTTATAAAAGGCAAAATAGGAAAGTTACAGATTACAATCTCGACTAGATTTTAATGCTTTCCCCAATTACATTCCACTTCCTAAATAAGAACATTTACGGTAGATATCTCTAATTTTTTTATGGGATCTTTGATGCAAATTTCATGCTGGAATTATTTTATTAAAACAATATAGGGCTAATTTTATATACAATAATAATGTGTATACTATTATGTTTGAATGCATATCATATATACAAAATTTTGATTTCAAATTCAAATTCATCATATATAGAATTTATTCATGATGTTGTAAACACTATGAGTATATATAAAAATTAATCAAAATATATATTTCTATAATTTCATTGTGGACATTGATGTAGATATTACGAGTTATAAAATGGGTCAGGCCCACAAAAACCCAGTCCAGGATCCATGTACAGAGACAGCTCTGGGTCCGGGATAGATCTGAGATAGAGGGGACACCACACCACCTTTTACTCCACCTTCTCACCTATTTATGTTTCTAAATTAAATACACTCCACCTCTAGATTCCCATCATATTTTCTCATTGCCGAAGTTATATAACTAAGATTTATCATACTCAAATTTCTTAGTTTTCAGCCCATATAGCAATCTTTACACTTCCTTTTCAATAATGGCTAAAAGCAGAAATACCAGGAAACAAACAAAAGAGAACAAGAAGGAGATTAATCGGAAGAGAAGTCCTGAGCAAAAAGAGAAACCACATTCATGGGCTGTCGTGAGAAGCCTCTTCACCTGCAAACACCTTCAAGCACAAATGCAGCAGCAGCAACTACAAAAGGCGGAGCAGCAGCAGCAGAAGAAGAATTCAGAAGAGAAGAAACAGCAAAAGGAAGAACAAGGGAAGCAGGAAAAACAAATGCCAGATATGGAGGAAAACCACAAAAAGTGCAAGAAAATAAAGTGTTCAGGCTCACTATGTAGCAATACAAAAGTCATGCATAGGCCTGAACCTGTGTCACCTGAGGATCTAAAGAAAAGGGCTTCATCATCAATGGGGGGCTCATTCAACACTGAAAATGTTTCTTGCAGATCAATTAAAGTTACTCTCAATGATCTCAATGGGGCTGTGGTTTCTGCTTCATCATCTTCTTCTTCAATGTCTGCTGCTTCTACTACTAATTCTCCTTTAATTACTGGATCTTTCAGAGGAATGCCTTTCAGGAAATTTTCCAGCTGCTATGAGTGTAGAATGGTGGTTGATCCTGTTCTTGGGATGACTAGAGACCCTTCTTTAAGATCTACAATTTGTTCATGTCCAGAATGTGGTGAAATCTTCATGAAAGCTGAAAATTTGGAGCTTCATCAAGCTGTGAGGCATGCAGGTAATTTTCCACTCAATTTTTTAATCCTACCATCATTACTCAACTAATTAGTAGAGACAGTGATTATGATAACAATAAGTAGTAGCATTTGTCATCTCAATTTCTGGTCAAACTTTTCCTAAGTTTTTGCATTTGTTAATTTCAACACCTAGTAATTCATGACCCATGTCTCAAGCTGACTGTACCATTCCAATTTTTTAATACAATAATAGCTTTAGGGAAGGATGAATTACTGTAGGACTCAACTCTTTTTCTCTTTTCCCCACACATTGTCTATCATTACTTTACTCAACATTTAAATTCCTATCTTGATTTTCACTCTAAGTTCAAATTCCACTACATTTCCTATCATCTGTGCATAGCACTTTATGGTAT